GGTAGAAGAAAGACAAAATTGGATTTTTTTCTGTGCTAAATCACAAAAGGCATACCCTAAGTCAAGTAAACAATCTCTACTATTCTCAGTTTAATATTCAAAAGCTATAATGTTAGTTGAAAATCATGAAACTTTTAAGACAATCGTGACTGAAATACACCTTGACTGATAATTATTTGCAACAGATAATTGTTTTTACTAATACACCTTGACTGGAATGTATAAGGGGCATTTGTGAAATAAAATTTCATCTCTCTCCTAAAAGTCATTTTTTTAATCATACTCTTTCATGAATGAACTGATTTTGTTATCAAACCATAAATCTCAAAAGAGGTTAGTGTAATTTTCCAAACCTCAAGAGAGGTTAGTGAAATTATCAGAAATATCGGGAAAGTTTTCTAAATTTATCCCTTGATAATAATATGACCTAGGCCTAGACTGCAGCTAGAAGGGTACATGAGCACGTGACATCGTGTGAACGATGCTGAGTGACACAAATTGTATGGACGGACAATGACATCTTGCTAAGTTGTACGGACAAACATCATCTTCCTGGGGAGGGGCGGCACTAAGTTTACATGCATTCACAGCAAATTAATCTGCAAAAGTTTGACAACCGACTAGGATGTGAATCTCTCCATGTAAAATGTTATCGTTTTCACCCAACAAAAAAAAAAGAGACCAGGACGTGATTCTCAACTTTCCATCCTTAAGTGCACTGTAGATACCCTTTTTAGGTAATGTCGTTTAGGTTAGGGCAAAAAACCTGGGCGGCCATTAAACTTTTCTCAAGATCTTGTTTTGGCCATCGAATTATTTTTTGTTAATAATTGACCACTAAACTACTTAATCAGTGAACCCGTGCCCATTTTGTCAATAATGGCTCTTAATTTCTGAAATTAGCATTCCACGTGTCAAACTACAGGGGTAATTTTGTCTGTCAATCCACTGACCGTTTACTTACAATCTCTGAAAATTCTAAAAGAGGACGTAGAGATAACAAGGAAAGAGGGATGGAAAACCTTTCTGCAGATTCCGTCAGCCACTTTTGTTCTGACAAAATCAGCGGAAACAATTGTTCCGCTCGACAAACAGAGTTCATAGAGATGTATAGGCCTTAAGGGACTAGGTCCAAGAACCAGAATTAGCCGCTCAACTTGTGGAATCTGAGGGACCAAGAGCTAAAGAGCAGTCTTGAAATTAGAGACAGAGTTGATTAGTTTTTCCAGTCTTCTGATACCCTACTTCACCTTTCTCTTTCTGGAAACGTGCTTTCTCCTTAAGGCTGCCTTCATCTCAGCTTGTGAAGCTAGTACTATTTCCTGGTATTCCATAATTAAATTTAAAAAAAAAAACATCGTTGGGTTTTCAGAGGAAAATCAATAATGACAAGCATAAAAGTAGGGCTCTACTCACCAAATCCTTGTACTCCTTCTGCAATTCGTCAAATTCGAGGCTAATATCTTGTAAAACACTATGGAGAGAAAGTAAAAACGAATGCATTAGCTGGGGATTGCATAATTTGAAAAAAAAATTTTGGCAGAATCTTGAACTGTCAACAGGAAAGGGGGAAAAAAGAAAAAGAAAAAAAAGAGCAGATAAGGCTAGTGTGCAAACGAAGGGATTTGATGGTGCATATAGAGGACGAAGGCGAGAATGTCGGTGACGACATGGAAAATGACGGAGCTGTTGAGGGAGTCTGATGCTGTGTCGATGTCGGTAAACTCTGAAGTGTTATCTCTGCGTCCTCTTTTAGCTCCTAAAGTGCAGACCACAAATCTTCTTGCTGGGTTCCAATTTGTCCATGAGGTCTTCACCGTTGCTGTTAATCCGCAGGAGCATCTAGGTATGGGTTTAGGAGAGCGTCTCGACATTCTTTGGCTTCTTCGATTTCTCACACAGAATTTAGGGCTGGAAATTGAGTCCATATTTTTTCCTCCACAAGACCAGACACTTCAGTTGGCTTCCATCGCTTTTTTTCTTTCCAGTTGATGCCATTAATGTAAGAAAACGGTCAGTGGATTGACGGACAAAATTGCCCCTGTGGTTTGCCACGTGGAATGCTAATTTCAGAAATTAAGAGCCATTACCAACGAAATGGGCATGGGTTCACTGATTAAGTAGTTTAGTGGTCAATTATTGACAAAAAATAGTTCGATGGCTAAAACATGATCTTGAGAAAAGTTTAATGGCCGCCCAGGTTTTTTGTCCTTTAGTTTATCCAAGAGAGAAGGAAAACAAGCACTAACTGATTTTTCATGTTCAGGAGCAGTTACAAATTCGTCCTGTTCAAACCAACATTCAGAGAATACTCATCGCACACTTGATTAGGTTGGCCTTGTTTTCATCTTGTTTTAGTAATGGCATAATAGAAATCTCTAGACGTTACTCCTTATCTTTGTTTTTAAACTCGGACCAGACCGACCGGTCCAACCGGTTGAACCGAAAACCGGCCATTTGTCGGGTCCGAGTTAATTCTAAAAATCGAAAAATTAAAAACTCGGTCAAACCAGATCAAAAACAGGGTTTGACCCGGTTGGACCGGAAAAATAAGAATCGAGTCACTTTTTTTTTTTTTTTTTACTTTTTTTGAAAGGTCAAAATATTTTTAATATTATGTTTTGCCCCCTAGGTTGTTAAAAATTATTAATATATCTTAAATATTTCATACTTTATAAATGTTGTCTTAAAGTTTAGTGTTATTTTTCAATTAAGTCCTTAATTTTAATTCTAAACTTATTAATGCTCATTAAATAATATAAATTGCTACTTGATTGTTCTAATTTCTTTATATTTTCTTGTTAAATACATCTGAAACATCAAATATATATGAATATACCTTTATTAATATTAACATGTTATTAGATATTTTACATATAATATTTTAATTTTAAAATAATTTTTATTTATGACGTCATCCGATTCAATTCCGATCGAACCCGGTTGAACCCATTAACCCCTGACCCCTGAGTTCGACCCAGTCGATACCCGGTCCGGTTCTGAAAACATAGCTCCTTATGAGGCAAAAGAGTAGTGTTGTCTTTGTGGGTCTACCCAACTTTGCTTCTGCTTCTAGTAATTCTATAAGAAAGTTGAACATGTTTTAAAGGAATCAAGGCCTCCTCAGTTGATTGTTTAGTTCAGTCTAATTATTGAAATTCTTGCAACATTGAGCATAAATTCGTACAACTTTGATGTAATGATGAACTAAGTGTAAGAGTTAACAAAATTTGTGTTTATATTATCATTTTATATCAAATATTGTGTGAATTAAACAAAAGTTTAATTGGAGAGACCCCAAATTTATTTTAAAGCTGGTTTAACAAAAGTTGAACAAAGTTCAACTAGATGGAACTAAACAAAAGTTCAACTAAAGAGACCCAAAATTTTGATAAAATTACTTAGCAATGTAAAATACCATGTTGGACCCAAAAAAGATATTTGGTTAAATTAAATATAACTTTGGGATCTGATGCATCCTTATACCACTAATCCAACTTTTACGCGCAAAACTCCGATTTTTTAAAGCACACTCTAAATCACTTTTTCAGTTAGTTTAACACTTCATGCAAGTTTTAAATGACTTAAATATGTGATCTAGCCCTTCATAACAAATCAAAAAAGTAATAATTATATAAAATGAAGGGTTGAGTTCTTTGATCTTCTCATTTCTTGCCAAACCTCAACAGGCATCTTTTGCCTTGCTACTTGAACCCTACAAAAAACAAACATTACAAACACACTTAAAAGCATATAGTAAACATGAAAATACACTAAAATGAAATAAACTAATACAAACAATTTATCACCAATAATGTCATGAGTTTATTTTATGCTTGTTATCATGAGTTTATATGCAAGGATTTCGAGATTGTCATTGTGTGAGTCTAGCATTTTGCTTTTGAAAAACTTAATTTCTTATAAATTGGAGTTTATCATGCCAAACTTTCTTTAAATTCATGGAGTGTATTGTTCTTAGTTTGTTTGTGTAAGTTATGTGATTGGTGTGATTAATGAATGTGAAAATCTTCTTATAATGTTTTGCTTAGTTCTAGTTTTTGCTAGGTATAAGTAATACGTTTTTCTTTCATATTAGTAAAAGAAAGTGATATGATTGTTGATCATGCAAAAACTACTGCAGTGTTTTGTAGTACTTAGTAACTAAGGGTTTTCATAAAAAAATGTCTGTTTTTGTATAAAATAGTACTAGAATTAAGAGTATGCAAAGTAGTGAGAATTTGTGACTTGATCGAGTAATGACAGACATTCATCTATCAATGATTGCTTTTGCATCAAAAGATAAGTTCACTACTTGAGTAAAACTTAATAAGAACTACAAAAAGAAGAAATGAATGAAGAGAAAGAAAAGGTGCAATTAATGTGTGAGGGCTTTCATATTAATTGTCCTTGTTTGTATAAATTTTAAGAGGTGGTTACCAGTTTAGCTTTTATATTTATTGATTATGCTAATTATATAGCTAGCATGATTAAATTAGAAATGATGCATGATATTGAGACTTGACCAAATGATGGTATGATAGGTTTTTTTTTTTTTTTTTTTGTAACCATTATCTTTCTAGAGCAATTTCTATATAAACTTTCAACAATTTCACTGACACTTGAACACTATGAATAACAATATCCTTTTCTAAAGTTCATCAGTTTCCACTTGTCGTTGTACAGATATTTTTTTAACAAAAACAGTAAATTTTATGTTGTACAAATATTATTCTCCATTGTTTCTTTTTTGGGAGGGTCTCTTTCGGGCTCGTCGTACCAAAAGAAGAAAAGGAATAAAGTTTTTGGACCTAGCTAGTCTTTCCTTAATCGCTTATGCGTTGCACAGTATATTCTATTATTGAAATTGAGACTTAAAGGGGAAAAAAGAATATAAAGACCTTGAGGATTATCATTTCTCTGTACATCTTGCCTGAGTAATGTATCTTTAGGGTTTCTACTAGTGTCTTTCGTACCCAATATTTTCCAGCTTTTCCCACCTACCATCTTGCAGATCTGAGGCTTCCCAGAAAAGGTTTTGTCTGGTTTTCCATTTTTGGGGTCAATCAATTCCATTCCCACCCGGTTCTTTCTGTTTTTGGAAACTTTTTTTTTGTTCATGAGGTTATATTAGTTTTTTAATTCTTGATTAAATGCATTTTGGTTGTTTGTACTTCGACCCTTCATGGAGTCACTGATTTCTCTTTCAGGGTTGTTGGTGGATTTGATTTTGCACCTTGTTTGTTATCTAAAATCGTAAGAATGGTGAGAGGGAAAACTCAGATTAAGAGGATAGAAAATTCAACTAGTAGACAAGTGACATTCTCAAAGAGGAGAAAGGGACTTCTCAAGAAGGCCTTTGAGCTATCAGTTCTTTGTGATGCGGAAGTTGCACTGATCGTTTTCTCCCCCAGCGGGAAGCTTTTTGAGTTCTCAAGTTCCAGGTACATTAACCATCAACATTTGCACATGATCTGCTCATATTCTCCATCTATCTCTCTTTTTTGTTATTAATTTTTCTCCCTTTGATCAAAATGGTATCATCTTCATCAAATTTTATGTCCACTTTTACAACGGATTGACCATAGATCATTCCAAGTATTTTCTGAAGTTTTTATCAAAGCCAAGGGATCAGAGATCCCTTATCTTGTTTTATATCCGTTTCTATGAAATCAATTTTTACCAATAAATGCAGCTTTTAATGAGTTTGACTTAAGCTATTTTTCCCCTCTTTGCATCTGTAGTATCTACTTCCACTCCTTTAATGGGATTTAGATATTATTAAGTCCGGAGGCGGAAATACTAGATCCTTAGAAGCACGCAAAAATTAGATAGACAAAATACACATAACGACAGAAACCAATGTCATCAATAGTTGCAATTCTGCAGCATTTTTTTACATGATATTGTAAGCCAAGTTGTCAATTAAAATCAGTAGCATGAGATATTCTCCTAGAGCAAAACTTATGAGACACGGCATTTTCATCCCAACAACCGCTTTTCGTAGTAGTTCTTAGAGTACATCGTGTAAATAGAGTACAAGGGGTTGTACTATAATACTTGTTTTTCTACAACGAAAGTAAAAGTTTTAGTCTATCTGGAATGCAAGTGGAAGTGGTATCATGTCAATAATGAATCCAGTAAGAAGCTGTCGAGCTTTTGTACTTGTTCTTGAAACAGTCCAACCTCGCCAGCCTATATGCATTAGTACTACGAGGAAGTGGACCTTCTTATCTCCTAAAAGTTAGCTTTTTTATTGTTCAAGTTGATTAAGAGTGTGTCTCGTAATGTTTACGATCATGTACAGACACATAATTTGCCCGCAAATGCTGGCATATTAATCAGTGTACAAGAAAGAAGAATTTTTATTTTGGCCTACAGCAAAGAAGATTATTAACATTACTGATGCATTTTAAAGAGATCAGTTAACATAATCTGAGGGCAATGGATGTATGACCATATACCAAGTTATATATATGTTGGTTAGCCAGAATCTAGTGAATAAAGCCAACCGTGGTGATGTATCATTAAACCCTGAAATATTAACTTCATAAAACTATAAAATGATGCCATATCTCGAGAAATTCTAAGTTTCCATCTTAGTTGCTATAAGAGCAGAACAAATAGAAAATTATTTCTTATTTAGATTCTGCGTTGAAACAATGCGAATAGTGTACTTTGATCTCAAGAAGACAACAACAAAATAAATCCTCTTAGACCACTGATATTGGATGTAGGGATAGTAATCTTCTATCATATTGGCCTTTTTTACTTCATTTCTAATGACATTATAGATTCTCAAGCTAAATAAGAATATTACGCATATTTCATCACACTATGAACAACTATGAATAGTAGTGCTTCGAAGCCTATGGACCAAGAAGATGAAATACAAAACTACTTAGGCCAAAGACCTTGGAAGCATATATATTAATTGAACATTGAGTCATCATCCAGGATTTTAGAGTGTATAGTAGATGCCAAAGTGATAAGCCAAATTATAATACCTTATTTATTTCTTACAACCAAACTTTGTAGTCATGACTCAGGATCTCTGGGTCAAAGTGTTGAAAAGTACCAAATTGTGGAATCTAAGAGTTACGGGTTCTCATTCAAGTTCACTTTTGTTTGATTCATTAGTACTACATAAAACTAAATACGTGGTAGTGAACCTTTAATTTCAAATATCCATGAATCCTAAAATACATCACCAGTGGTGATCATCACTTCCCAATAATGGCACTATTTCTTAAGTATTGTGCCGCCCATGATATACATCATTTCTCAAAGTTTTCAGGTCATTTCTCAATTTTAACTTAGTGCATATATATATATATATATATGTATACATATGCGAGGGCATTTTTGTCCATGAAATATGAGTTGTCCAGCATCACTTGAGAGACACATAGCAATAAGGATACTGAGCAGTATTAATGGTGAAAACAATGGTTCTCTCAAGGTGGAAGATAATCAAATAATTTAGACATCTATGGAAATTATTGGCTTCTTCTATCTTCTTTTTGTGTAGCCAAGGTCACATCACATATGCACATTATGAAACTTTTAGCTTTCTAGCTAGGCCAAATTTGACCATCCTAGTGTAAGCTTAACGTTGACACATTTGAAGCACGTGGTGGAATGATGAGACTCCCCCGAACATTCAAGATTTAGAGAATGCATTCTTGTTATTGGATTCATGGTTTAGAGCAATGCATAGCATCTTAGAATGTCAAGGGGGGTAGTAATACTCATATTTTGAAGCTTTGCATCCTAAATTCCTTAATTAACATGTTATGTTATATTTAACTTTAAGTTCCAATGAATTGCATAATTTCGATGAAGACGACGATATGGCAGCATCATTTGACGTAATTGAGGATCCAAGACTTTTCTATAATTAGTTGCCATTGGCTTAATTTTTTCTACAAAAAGGACCTATTTCATGGTTTTATTATTGGCTTGCTTTCAACTTTGAGAAGGAAATAACGGTTATTTTATAGTTAAAAGACTAACTTGATGGAAGAAAATTTTTACAGGATGCAATTTTTTGACAAATATTTAACCTTTCAGAAGGGAAATGGCTGGAATTTAGAGGCATAAATGAACTGCAAACCCTTATTTTGAATCAAGGAAAAAGGTATTAATCACTAATTCATATTTGGTTCCCCAATATTGGTCTAATCCAGTTCTTTAAATGTTATATATGATGAATTTGGGCATCTTGCTTCGAATATTGAATATAGGAGTAAATATTGAATACTTGATTACATACGTAGGGAGTGTTTTTTGAAATTTCTATAAGTTTTGAAGGGTTAAAGATTTCTCATTGACTCATAATTTAAAGCAATTTGATGTAAATTATATATAACAACAGTTACTTCGAATCTTTTTTTTTTTTCGCTTGAAGTTCATACCAACACTAATTTGGACATATTAGGTCAACATGATGGTCATGTGTTAAGGACTAGTGCCTTCCTGTGCTACAGTACCAGAGTTGGCATACTTTGAGCTAAGTCTCCTTATAGGATGTGTCCAATCTCTGTCAATAATAGAATTTTTAGTTGTTTTACACTATAACTTTACACAACATGGAAATATCTCACCTATAAAACAACACACAGAAATACCTCATTCATGTACTGCATAACGTGGAAGGCCTTTATCTCACGCAACTTTGAGTTACTTATGCCTAGTTTAGAGCGTAGGAAAGAAAAGAAGTAAGGAAAAAAGGGGGGAAAAAAAGAAAAGACAAAGAATTACTTTTTTTTTTCGTATACTGTTCCGGCGTAGCAGAGGATAAAGGCAAGGAGCAAAATTATTAATACATGTAATTCACACATTTACTCTCAAATTTAAACTTATAGGTTCTTGTACTGATGATAAATGTGACAATTTCTGGGTTTTCAGCTAATGGCCTTTTCTTAATTTTTTTTTTTATTTCTCTTTACTTTGATGAGAAGTTTGGGTAAATAACCTCATCCATCCTTCAAGTTTAACTCGTGACTCTATTTTGTCTCTCGAGTTTAAATAGAACCTATTATATTTCTGAAATTATATATTGGGTTTTGAAAGGTGCCTAAGTAAAATTCTATCCAAAATCAACTTAATAGATGCCAATCAAGTGAGAGACTTGCTATATCTCCAAAGGCATTGATAAAAATTATAAAAGCCTAAACCTATACCTTCAGACTAAGTAAATAAAAGGGAAAGGCACTTGCCATCTATAGCATTATCAGGGCAAAATTTTACACTCAACTTCATTGTTTCTAATTTTGTATTTATGTGTGCATACAAACACACACATATATACATATATGTATATATGTATATCTATGTGTGTGTATGTATATATATATACACACACACACATATATATATATGCATGTATGTTGATGTGCGCGGAGTATACATATACAATTAAGCTCATCCTAATCAAGTTTTACATTTATAAACTCCTAAATACCCCACACGCAATTTATCGCAAGTATACGAATCGTGAGCGAGTATAGGGTATTAAGGGTCGATCCCACAAGGAAGATTGCAATTACCGGTACTACTAAAGCTTCTCTATTATTTAGACTATCAATGAATTATAACAAATTTTACCTACTCAAATTATACAAAATAGCAAATAAAAGCTCCTTGGGTTGTGGTATCCTTAACTACTCATGCAAGTGCTATATTTGGATCATTAATTACTACATTTAGGCTAATTATGGTGTAATTTCCTTATGCATTTGAATCCTACTTTCGTAGTGAATCAACTATACTCATAACTAATCCATACCTATTTTCATGGTTATGAAATTAGCTACAAGTTCATTTCTTCAATGAAATTACATGAAATGAATCACTAAAAACCACATAAGTGCACCTCTACTTTCGTGAGTGTACTCCCTATGTTTAGCACTTCTTGAACTAGTGTTAAATCTCAATTTTCATTGCAGAAACAACACCTTAGATAATCACAATTAATGGTACCAGATTAATCATGATTTCAAGAGCTAAAGTGCTAAATAACTTGCTCAAATCATAGCAGTCAAATAACCAAATAATAAACACTAACAATTATAGAAAGTTCAACCAAACCCAAGGTATAAACTTTAGAAACACATATTGAACACAAAATCCAGAACTTGTATATTAACTAAACTTGGAATCAAATACAAAAGATAAAGAGTTTGGAAGGAATACAACCCTTGTCACATGAGCTTTCTTCCTTGCCTTCTTCATCCTCCATCTTCATCCTAATCTAGATAATAAACAAGAATGGAAAGCTACACTACTCTATACTAAGCTAAACTAACACTAGAGAGATGAAAGAGCTACATTTCTGCAGCTTCAAGCTTCTCCCGTAGCTCACTCTCTATTTTTCTCCTATGGACTCCAATCTCTCCAATCTCTTTTTGCAATGAATTTGGCTCTTTTATGATGAAAAGGT